TTAAACAATGGCGTCAATTGTGCCAGGCGCATGGCTTGTCAAATTGTTCACACACGTGACCCGCCGCCGACAAAAATACCCTAACGGTAGTCCGTCGCTCAAAAATTCAATGAAAGCGTAGAGCTGGGTGTGCGTGAGTACACTGCATGTACAGGACATTGTACATGTACATGCATTCAGTGCAGATCCATTATTTCATCATCGTCATGCTTGTTGGAACGGAGCCAAACACGTGGCACGTAGTCTTGTGCTTAAGACGCTTGGTCTTCTTGGAATGCTAAGATTGTGCCAGAACAATGATGGCATGATGACATTATCAGGTGTCACGTAACAAGCAATTAGACTTTGATATTTTTTATCTTTAAAAATCTATATAAAATCAATAATGAAATCTGTCGTCTTGCTGTTGACGGCAAGTGATAGAGTAAATTAAGGTCTTTATTTTTGAACGTGTACGTAAAATCACATGACCCTTGCTTCCGGTCGAAACCGGAAGTGGCTTATTATTGGCTTATTATTTAAAAGCGGAAATAGATATGAACTTGCTTTCAACGGTGTTAGTCTCTGGCCAGACAATTTTCTTCAAAACTTACCGGTGACGTCATGAAATTCTCGACCGCCCTCTAGCGGCAGGCTTAAGAATGTCCAAAATGCATTTTGAATAAATGTCTGTGGCGAAGTGTTTTGTAATCGCCTGATAACTGGTATATACAATGACCTTCATGCAAACAACACGTGTGAAGTTTGAAGTTGATGACGTCATCAGACCGGAAGTTAAAACGAAAAGACCTTCTATTCTTCAAAAATAAATCAATCCTGAGAGATATAATCGTTAATTTTCTATTGAATGATAGCTTAAACATTGGCGTCAATTGTTCCAGGTTCGTGACTTGTCTAATTGTTCACACACGTGACCCGCCGCCGACAAAAATACCCTTATAGTAGTCCGTCGCTCAAAAATTCAATGAAAGCATAGCGCGTCGCCGTTCGGCCACGGCATAGGCCGGGCGCACACGCCCGCTGAACGTGGCCTGGTTTTTCGTTTGCTTTTTGCGGGCGTGCATGTACATGTACATTTACATGTCCAGTTATTAGTACGTAGACTCTGAGAAAGTCTGAGGAGAAGTACTGTTGTCACGAGTGTACGACTAAAATAGATCGCTGCGCGCGTCTTCGTCTTGAAAAAAGGGCAAGACAGAAAAGCGCGCATGCGCAGTTAATGTGTCATAATCGGGGTTAAGCTTGTACACTGCATGCACACTGTGATTCGGAAAGTAGAATGTGTGCACTTAGGATGTTCGTGGAGCGTCCTGAATAGGCACCTCTTACGAACTCTGAGTGGCGATTTGGCAAATATAAATGTTTGTTTCTGTTTATAAATTTACCTTCGGATAGTAAATATTATTTCGGGTTTTTTTTCAGGCAAATGGTATTGGGAGTTCGTGCTGAAAACAGCTTACCATTTAAAATGGCTCCAGTTATGATTGGACACAAGAATACATGAAAGCGGAAGCATTTTACTACACACATATAAATTATGAAAGTGTTTAGTGAGAAATGCCAGTCACAAAAAAGTGTGATGACGTCTTCATTCAAAAGGACGCCCCCTAGCGGCACATTTAATATTGTATGCTTTCTTTATTTTAAAAACCATCCGTTCAAATTTTACCAAAATGCCCCTTGATATTCTCTGATTAACCACAGCAAACTTGGCAAGGTTTCAAATTCATGACGTAATCAGACCGGAAGTTTCTATGAGAATTTGAAAATGATCATATTTTCAATTAAATTCTATCATTTGATCCATGTTGTATATCTTCGTAGTCCAAATAACGATATCCATTACAAATTTACAATGGTCACCTTTTGCTTCCAAATACTGAGTCGTCATCAAACCGGAAGTAAGGTGTTATGAATACTACACTTATATTTTCCAGATTTTCATGCGTTAATTAACTTCACAATGGATATTTATCCACAAATCAGTATCACTTCCCGTTTGTGAATAATGACGTCATCAAGCAAGAAACTAGAGGTTCGCGTTTGTTGAGTTACAAACGCAGAGTGGTCGGGCTGGCATATTTTCTTGTGTTTACAGTGACTTAATCATAATTGAACTGCACAATACCCCTCCCATCACTCTGCAACCATTACCCTGTGTTTTCACAAAGAAAATCACACAACCTACAGTTGAACTTGTTGCTTTACCTTGACAAGACTTGTAGGCCTATCAGGAAGCGAACATCTGGTGCTGCATGGATGGCTACTCAAGCATACAACCAGTTGGGACTATTGGTAGAGTTAACGAAGCCTCTAACGTCGTTAGAGTTTATGCAACAGAACTATGCTAATCTTAAAATAAAATGGCTTTTTTGTTTTATTTTGTTTTTGTCTTTTGCATGGGCATAATAAAATTCTGCACTAAGGTTACGACATTGGTAGAATTGACAGAGCGTCTCACGTCGTGAAAGTTTATGAAACATAATTATGCTAATTTTAAGATAAAATGGCTTTTATATTGTTTTTTTGTTGTTGGTCTTTTGCATGGGTATAATAAAATTCTGCACTGAATTTATGACAATGGTAGACTTGACGGAGCCTCTAACGTCGTTGGAGTTTATGCAACATATGCTAATTTTATCATAAAATGGCTTTTATGTTATTTTTTTCTTTTGCATGGGCATAATTAAATTCTGCACTGAATTTACGACAGAAAAGTTTGTGGCTACACGCTGTAGAAATATTAATTTTCAGCATTCAGATATGAGAAAAAAACTGGCGAAGCGCGATTTCAATCGGTTATCGCGAAAAATATCAGAAAATGGACGAGAATATTAGAATTGAATTCATGGTCAGAATTGGAATCGGTAGACTTGAGGGAGCCTCTATGACGTGTTTGGAGCTTTTATGCAACATTTGATTATCTCAATATCAAAAATAAAATGTCTTATGTCTTTTGCATGCATGGGCTTCCTAAAATTCTGCTAGTTATCCCCGCATATCTGAATGCTGAAAATTAATATTTCCACAGCGTGTAACCACACCTTTTCTGTCGTAAAGTCAGGGCAGAATTTTATTATCCCCATGCAAAAGAAAAAAAAACATCAAAGCCATTTTATGATACGATTAGCATATGTTTCATAAACGTCAACGACGTTAGAGGATCTGGCAAGTCTACCAATAGTCCCAACTGGTTGTATGCTTGAGTAGCCATCCATGCAGCACCACATGTGCGCTTTCCACGGACCTTCAAGTCTTGTCGAGATAAAGCAACAAGTTCAACTGCAGGTTGTTTGATTTTCTTTGTGAAAAGCAAAGAGTAATGGGTGCAGGGTAATGGATGCAGGGTAATGGGAGGGGTAATGTTCAGTTCAATTATGATTAAGTCACTGTAAACACAAGAACATATGCCAGCCCGACCACTCTGCGTTTGTTACTCAACAAACGCGAACCTCTAGTTTGTTCTTAGTATTGTTATTCATAATTAGATGCATTGCTTCATTGCCAAAGGTTGTTTACACATTTAGAGTGTATTTTTATTTCAACATTTTAATTGGTAGAGTATGTTGAGTATTACAAAAGTTTGCTTATATGTAGCTTCGTGTAAGAATGACACGAACGAAAAAATTATGAAAAATGTCGCATGATTTGAAGCGAGGAACAGATCGTATAGGCTTGTGTAAGAATAATATTAATGAAAAAGGTTAGCTTGTATATTAGTAGTATGACGGATAAATTTACCCAGTAGTATATATCAGTGACGGATATCTAAACATTTTCGTGGTCAATTCGTATTAATTGAAAATTGCTTCGATTAAACTCGGACCGTTGTTCGCAAGATCGAAAAAAAACCCTCAAAACCGTACGGATCACGATTTGGTATCTAATAATTATTACAGTTAAACATTACTGTACTGTCAGTCAGAAAATGATCGATTTTACCGTTTTATACTACCCGTTTATGTTATACAAAAACTCGACGATTGATAACAGCATGCCATACTTGATTGTTAAAAGTAAGAGTTATGTAACTTTTGTATCTGGAAAACTATGAAGGATGAATGTAATACATCAGTGACGGTAATTGGTTAATAATTTATCAAACACGACAGGTTTTGAGTTTATCTAAATCGTTTTGAAAGATTTTTAATAATGTGAACGTGAAGTTGCAGTGGTCAATCTGTTAGATTTTAAATGTATATGCAGTCAGATCGACTTAAAACTAGGCACAACGACTCCACATTAAACCTTAGACAAGTGACAGGCATGATGACGTCATCATTGGTTATGTGACGTCATCTTAAATGTGCATATTTAAAGTCCTATATCTAGAGGACTGAAAGTCCGACGGGGTTGAAACTTGGTATGAATATAGATATAGATGATATAGGTATTAGGTAAAGACGGAAGTGACATCATGATGAGTCATCACATGACAAATAACGTAACCTTTCAGGTACATTTGAACGTCCTATATCTACAGAACAACAAGTCCGATTGGATTGAAAATCTACGTACATAGTCAGGGACGTTTTTGTATTAAACTGAAATTGTAATTTGTTTAATAAGGGAATACATGTGTGCTCCGGAGGTTTTTATCACTCTGTTCAATACCGCTTAGAGTCTGGGTGCTGATAATTACCCGAGCCGGAGGCGAGGGTAATTATCAGCACCCAGACTCTAAGCGGTATTAAACAGAGTGATAAATACCGACCGAGCACATATTTATTCCCATTCATAAATACCTTATCCGTAAAAAAATATCAAATAATTCGTTCAAAAATCCCGGGTTTGTTCAACAAGTTCACTTCATGCTTTTTGAAACATCCCTCTAGCAAAACAATGTAGTGTTCAGCTGGCGAGTAAGATGTAAACAGCCCCTTTATGGAGATGACGCGCGCGTAGCATGTTCTGCGCGATGTCGCGCAGAACGCACCTGGGGCGTTGCGTTTTGAATTTAGAACTATAAAATTCTGACTCGCTTGTAGTGTTGCGCCTGCCTACGTGAGGATTGTGAACGTTCAAGCAATGAAACGGTAAGAGGCACTGGATTTTTAGGAGTCCATATTTTATTGTGACACTTGAAAAGTGTTTAAGACCAGCTAGCCATGTCTTTATCATCCGTTTAAGACCGGCCACGTGACGGGCTCTCGACCAATAGGAATAGCTAAACTGTCTGAGGTATTTATTTATGTTTATTCTTTGTTATAGCGCTTTGTGGTGGATTTTTCTGCGATTGTACTCTGCGCTTTAAATATTCTATATATTATTTATGTATTACACTTCAACTGCAATTTGTATATACCGCCCTCTTTCGACTTCAAATGCAATATGCGTCTTTGATTTTACAAGCTATAGTGAAGCTGAAGTGGTCTACAGTTTGGGCCGGATTACATTGGCATTTCGGGTTAAGTACCCTATACGATAGCACTGCCAGGCTCAAAAGTGCATGGCTGTTAGTCAGTGAGTCAGACAGAGAGAAAGGTACAATTAGGACTCTATGCTGGCCTTCTTTAACCAGGAAAAAAAAAAAAACACATAAACGAAACAAAAACTTAACGGTGTGCATATTCCGATGGTCCCATTTTATTGCTAGTCAGTTGTTAACATGCTTAATATTCTTACGCATAATACAAGATTGGTTAACATAACTAATCATTGGATGACCATCGATTGTTTAATATGTGTCCAACCATCCGATTGGTTGGACACAATTTTAAACAATTGTTGGTTAATTATTTCAAGCAATGATTGGATATGTTAACCAATCTGTTTTAAGAGTGTAGCCTGACAATGGTTATTCACTGGAAGTCTTTTCATATATATGGCCTACGGAATGGGCCGGATTTAGCTATTTAATTTGCAATGCTAAACAGGGTAATCCTGCTTTTGGGCAAAGATAAGACTGGCAAAAAAAATCTGGCACTTCAATGAATTTGTCTTTTGTAACTGCCTTATCAAAAAGGCTAACAGTTCACAGAGGGTTCCTTGTTATCTCTGCTGGCCAGTAGAGACGGTAGATAGGCCACCAACAGCGTGCTAAAAATAAAAAAAAACCTTGGAATAAAGAATGACAGATAAGATTCGACAACCTTTTTTTGGACATTCATTTACTTAAGCTCGTCTGTGACCAGCATTGGAACTATTTAGTCAACACTGACGGCATTAAGATATTCAAGAATTCCAGCTTTGAATCTGGGAAACGGTAAGGTTTCGGACCTCTTTTGGGCAGTTTTTCCCTGATTTTTACTTTACTGTACTTCAATCAACACAAGGCGTAAAACGATCAACAACCTATCCAACAAATCAGTGAGTGTGAGTGTGGCATCATCAAAAGTTACAAGATAATTATAAAGAACTGTGACAAGGTGTTTTGGTACCAGTTGTCCAGTGATAGGTCAGTTCATAAAAAAAATGTGGGATTTAAATGAATGTGTCTTTTATAACTGTCCTATCAAAACGGCTAACGGTTCAAAGAGGGTTCCTTGTTTGTCAGCTGATCTGTCAGAGATCGTAGATAGGCCACCAAGAGCGTGCTAAAACAGTCTTGGAATAAAGAACGACAGATAAGATTCGACAACCTTTGTCGGGCATTTATTTACTTTAGCTCGCCTGTGACCAGCATTTGAACTATTTAGTTTACACACTGACGTTGAATGCGAAAGAAACCCCAAGAATTCCAGCTTTGAATCTGGGAAAACGGTAAGTTTTCGGACCTCTTTTGTGCAGCAGTTCCCTGATTTTTTATTTTACTGTACTTCATTCAACACAAGGCGTAAAACGATCGACAACCAATCCAAACAAATCAGTGAGTGTGAGTGTGGCATCATCAAAAGTAACAAGATATTTATATAGAACTGTGACAGGGTGTCTTGGTACCAGTTTTCAGGTGATAGGTCTAGTCATGAAAAATGTGGCACTTAATTGAATTCGTCTTTTATAACTGTCCTATCAAAACGATTAACGGCTCAAAGAGGGTTCCTTTTTTTTCTCTGCTGACAGAGATCGTTAACACACTGACGTTGCATGCGAGGCATTAAGAAACTCCAAGAATTCCAGATTCATATGTTATTAGCTAAAAAGAAAAACAGTAAAGAAAGCACTCATGATTTAAGACAATGAAAACCTGAAAAAAATAACACTAGCTTAAAAATATAAACTTCACTTCCTGCGTGAAAGTGGAATGGTTTAGGTATTCACACCGGTGGACAAAAAATGTCGGAGAACAAAAGAGAACAATATCGTCCGCGATTCCCAGCGTACGTCCGCGATTGGGGTCGTGTACAAAAAATAAGGGAGTCTTCCTAAAAAGTTTAAGTACAAACAAAAGTGGGACAATAGGACGTCCACGATCGACGGTGTGAACATGCCTGTGTGCACGCACACACGCTGTATGTACGTACCTTTGTTTTGCATTGAGCAGAAGAGGACCCCCTGGAGAGGCCCCCGGGGGTCGCAATCGCTTAACAAAAATAAACGAAAACAAAATCTAAGTTGGACCAAGCCTCACCCGACGACCGAGTTTGAGCGCGTTGCGACCTGCCACTTCGGAGAATAAGCCCGGACAAACATCCAAGCATTCAAAAATCCAAGCAGAGACTTGCGTATTATTATAAAGATGGAGGTTAAAGATGTCACCGGCCGGCAATTATTTCAAGTAGATGGTGTAGGTAAAGAATAAAGAATGCATGCATTGTCAGACCTGAATTCGCTCTGATCTTACACACCGTGCTGGTGAAGACATAAATGCTTTCTTTATTTGAGCTTCCGTTTAATAAGCTTTGTTCAAATCTGGGGACACAAAGTTAAACCCTTCCAGTTCACTTAGTTTTACTTTGCCAATACGTTCGAAGACAAGGCATTGTGTATCCTTGCGTTCCGATACTGTATTATATCATGGAGAAATAAAACAGGATTATATGACAAAACACACATACGTTTGTGCGAGGACCGTTCTCGAAACTCCATCAGCGTTCGAAGACAACATGACACTGAATCAGTTTTGTCTTGCAATCCTCAAGTGTTATAATGCATGGACCGATGCTCCTCCAAATGTATTTTTTTGCTTCGCAGAAGATCATGTCTTTCAGGGCGTACCTAAGTATCAAGGTTGTGTACACCGCCATTACACAAGTAGCCTTCCCGAAATTATGGCGCGACTGGTGGTACTGGAACACCACAGAAGACCGGCTCCTTGCTTACGTCAAGAAGACGGCAACAGAAGGGGACCCTGCCAGCGTGCTTGCCGCCGTGGAAAAATACAACCGAGACTATGAGTGGACTATCATGCTGGAACCTGATAAAAGTGAGACTTAAAAGGGAATCCGTTTTATTATTTGAGATGTTTTCCAATCTTCGGATTGTCTCAGGCATATGCTTCAGAACGCTGACGTAATACAGTTATTTTTAAAGGAACATCAAGTCAAGAAGAAGCAGTTCTAATCAGTTTGGACATTGAATGCTTGAAACGATTCGCAAGCCAGAGAAAAGGCAAAAAACTGACGATTCCGTGGAGTTAAAGTACATCAATTACGCCTCTTCCTCGTTTTCAGGTCAGCCAACCCGGCATACCAAAGAAAGAAAAGGCTCACATTTCGATAAACTTTGGTTTAAACATAACATCTGCATAAAATGGCACGGGGAACGAGTGCATAGGGAACGAGTAGCGAATGGCGAGTGTTGAGGATTGAAACCTCATCCTTTACGAGTGAGACCTTGGAACAAAGGTCAACTTCCATATCAACAAATGTGGGAACCTTAGCCCGGGTCCTCAGTAGTTTTCGCGTACAAATCGTTTTAAGACCAAACAATAGAAACAAAGAAAATGTGGGGGTCCTCGGAAGTATAGAAGGGCACATTACTGCATGGTCCTCGGTAGTAATGAATGGAATGTACGGGTCCTCTGTGGCTCGGAAGTATAGAGCTTGATAGCATAGAGGGGAAAGTGTGGGTCCTTGGAAATAATGCCGATAAATACGCTCGGCCAGGTAGAGGCAAGACGTCCCAACAAAGTTTCAAAATCATTAGCTTTTGTTGTATTTTAAATTTACAAAAAAGCTAAGAAACTCGAGGAGGTGGTGAAAGAGGCCTCACCAGAGGTATGTTTGGAGATGGGATGTTACATCGGCTGCTCGGCGCTGGCCATTGGAGCTCAGCTACCCCCTGGAGGGCGCCTGATCACGACAGAGATTGACCCGAGAATTGCAGACATCGCCAGGCAGCTGATCAGCTTTGCTGGTCTCGATCAGGTACGGATTGATGAACTGTTACGCGTTCCCTCAAAACCAAACTATGCTATATGGCAGAGATCTTAGGTGGATCCGCCCGCCCATCTCCCCCCCCCCCCTCCGCGCAGCTGAGAGATGGTCAAAATAACCTGGCCCTTTGAGGGTTAAACCGTAATTGTGAATGAAAGATCTGTAAATTTAAATAATAAAAAGTGGCAGGGTGTAATGGACAAAACAGACTATGTGTATAACAAGCATTAGTTTTGAATGAGCTCATGAATTCTGTCATCCACTTTTTTTTCAGGTGATTACTGTGTGTAACGTTAAGGCAGGAGACCTCATCCAAGCTCTTCGAAGCGACTATTCGGTGGACAAGCTCGATTTTGTCTTCCTCGACCATTTTAAACAGCTGTACCACCCCGACCTTAAGAGGCTGGAAGCGAACCACCTTCTTCGGAAAGGAACAGTTGTCATGGCCGATAACACTGTAATGCCTGGCGCTCCGGACTTTCTGGAGTATGTTGAGACTAGTGACAAGTATAAGACTGAGAGGTTTGAATTCACGATGCCTGTTTTTAACGAGCTGGATGCTATGACAGTTTCTGTCTACACCAAAGATTACTAGGGGCTCCATTAAACCCAGCCGAACCCAGCCCAGCGCAGTCCAGCCCAACCCAACCCAACCCAACCCGATTAACCCAACCAAACCCATGCAACTGTGTATTTGCATGTAATCGGGCACCCCCTATTGCCCCTCTTTTGTTTGTACTAACTTTTTTAAAAGAAAGACCTCCCATATATATTGTACACGAATCCAAATAGGGGACCTCTCGGGAAATGGGAACCCTATTGTCATCTATTGTTTAACGTCCCCTATTGAGTGCAGAAACAAACTCAACCCAACCGAATTAACCCAACCAAACCCTACCAAACCTAAGCCAATCCATCACAGCTCAGCTCAGTTCTGTCCGGTCCAACCTATAGCCCAACCCAATGCTACCAAACCTATTAAATACCGTTCATAGCCCATACGAAGTGTGCAGGCTCAAGTTTCAAAAATAAAATGGCTTCTAACGTTTAGATGATTATTTTCTAGCCTTTGAGATGCATAGGACTCAGTTTTAGCAAGGACGAAATACCAAAGACAATTATACAGAGGCAATCAGGAGAGGAAAATGTCGAGTGTATTGTGTGTTTTTATGGTCGGTCAAAAAATAGAAATGATTTAACTGAAACCATCAAATATAAATGTTACAATGATTTTGCCAATTCTGTTTTGTTCCTTTTTTAAGTTTGCAATGCAAGTTGAGTCAGGTTTTGGAACAATGTTCATGCGACGAATTCATATTCGATACTTGTGTTCATTTTTTTTCTGGATGCCAGATTTTTGATTTTATTCGAATTTAATAAATAAGAATTCCAGTCTTGTTTGATTTTTGCTGGTCCCACAGGGCCAGCTCAGTGTTTTCTGTTAAGTAGAATACACGAAAAAGTGTGGATTCGTAATTTAAGAATTCACGAGGCGCGAAGCGCCGAGTGAATTCGTAAATTAAGAATCCACACTTGCGAGTGTATTCTTCGACTTGAACCATTGCGTCAACAGAAGTATTGGAAAGGATGTGGCAACCTGACGCCACTTTTTTCTTCATACATCATCTTAATGAAGGTCATTCGTTGCAAAAATGATGATAAGTCATGAATCTGGGACTGAGAAATGTTTCCAATTTTGTTAGGAAATACTTGAAATGACTCTGTATAACTTTGTACACAAGCGCGGAAGTGGCGTCAGGTTGCAACATTTTTCGACACACCCGTACAACCAAGTCATTGTGTGTACAGGCTTCTTACGTCAAAATGGAAAGTTCAGACGACGATTTCTTTCTGACTTAAAGCAGTTTTTGCAGTGACGGCAAAGATCTGACTGTGAAGATGCATTGGTAATTTTCGGAAAGCAAATTTGCACGCAGACGGTCCTTTTCATGCTCATTATGGAGACAATTGTCCGACGTTCAAAGTGTGGATTCGTAATTCCGAATCCACACTTTACTAAAGATTCGTAGTTCCGAATCCACACTATGTGACCAGTGTATGAGATTCGTAGATCCGAATCCACACTTTTAACAATAGTGTGACGTCATAGCAATGGTTTAATTGTACTGACTAACTCACTTACTCACTAACTGACCGATTGACTGTCACTGGTGACCTAACCTGATTTTTGGCTAGAAGAGCAGGACACTATTACAATATTAAGCATGAGTCATTTTACATCAGCCACCGTAGGATATAGTGTTTCGGATAAAACAAAAATCACGTTACTAGATCCTAACGCCACGTAGGACTCGCAGAAAACATTTGCATATAAGGACCTAACTCTTCTTGTCGTTGCCAGTCGATATAGTCTGGCTTCTCGTTCCTGAACGCGTTGTACAGTGCACTACAATCAATCGACATGTTTGCTCGCGGTAATCGGATAATTATTAACTTGAATCTTCCCTTAAAGCCTCCACAACTACAGACTTTGGCCTGCACGTTTCTGGAACTCGATTAATATTCCAAAGTTCCAGTCCAACCGTTATTCATATATACATGTACCGCCCTCTTTAAATTTATGTGTTATCTTTTTTTTTTTTTTTTATTTAACAAGCCTAGTAAAGCTAGTCAGAGAGCGCAAACAATTCTATTCAATTTGTTCAAAATGGCTATTCAGTGGAAGTGGTTTCATGCATGTGGAATTCACAATGGGGCAGGCTTAGCCCATTATTAAATAATGAAAGGTTTGCGGAAACACCATGTGCGAATAATTTCTCAACTAAGAGAATGGTTCTGAAAAGAACCAGAGGTATAAACTCGACGTTCCGGTCAGTGTGCTCTGACCGTCTTCAGGAGAGGTCAGAGACGGTCAGAGCACACTGACCGGAACGTCGAGTTTATACCTCTGGTTCTTTTCAGAACCATTCTCTTAGTTGAGAAATTATTCGCACATGGTGTTTCCGCAAACCTTTCATTATTTAGTATCTCCACCATGCAAAGCCTCAAATCTTACTTAGCCCATTATTTTTATTTTTTTAGGGGGGAGGGGCAAGGTGAGATTTGTGCAAGTTTACGTCACGAGCGACGGTCAGTCAGTCCTGAAATCGTGAAACTCGAATTTGGGGGAGTCAGTCAGTCAGTCTGGTACATTCAAGACCATAGGCTACCCCTTCTGGGACCAGCAAACAACATCTGTTAACTTTTACGCTGAAACAGCGTAAATATTTGCCAACCACTATGGAAGGTCAACGTCGCAAAAATAAAGAATAGGCTTATAGTTATAAATGTTTCTATGCAATTTGGTTACATGCAATTGGATGGGAAAATCTGGTGCCAAGTATAGTACGGCTTAATTGTATGCCCTTGTACAGGGTGAGTAAAAAAAAAAGCGAAACCCAAATGTCGGGACCATTGTTTTAGTGAAGTTCTGCATGTAGCCCTATTAAAATCTACTAAACGAAAGCCCGATTCATAGGCTTTTTTTAGTTCAAGAATCATTCAGATCACTTATGTACCTTTCAACTTACAGAATTTTAAACACAACCTCCGTTTTAAGGTTCTGTCCACGGATCACAAGAAGGTTAGCGTTCTTTCAGCAAAACGAATACAAATCACATGGGGATGTGTGTGAATTGTTTCTTTTTGCTGAAAAAGAACGCAAACTTTTTTTGTGATCCGTGGATAGAACGTTAAAACGGTGGTTGTGTTTAAAATTCTGTAACTGGAAAAGTACATGAGTGATTTGAATGATTTTTGTACTAAAAGAAAGCTTATGAATTGGGCTTTCATATCCGAGATTTTTAAAGTACATGCAGAACTTCACTAAAACAATAGTCCCGACATTTGGGTTTCGCTTTTTTAGACTCACCCTGTAGCAGCTCATACAAAATAGTGCTCTCATTAACAAACGACAGAAAAGCCTGTCTAATTTATACCAATTCATTAGGCTCCGCCCACAGCACACGTGGGCAACAATGAATGCGCCTCTCCAATGCCTCACTGACTGTTCCAGTCACGCGCATCATGTGCATGAATGATAAACATTATTCATGATTGCTTAAAAAACAGGGCGGTAACAGATCTGTCTATTGTGACCGCCATATCCAAAGGGCTCACAACTTCATATGCGGGGTTCATTTTTTTCACTGTGGACCGTAGAGAGACCACCAACTGCGTGCCAAAAAAAAAAAAACACCAGCAAAGTTGTGTACGATCGAGGCATCGTCTTTATTATTAAGACTCCACGAATACTACCAGCTTTGAATCTGAGACAAAACGGTAAGTTTTAGGCCATTTTGTTTGCGCAATTTATTTTCGTTACCGTGCTTCATCCAACGTAAGACGTAAAACAATCAGCAAACCTATGAAAAACCCTATCATCAGGGATGTGAGTTTGATACTATCCACACTGACCAGACTATTTTACAGGGTGCACCCCCCCAAAAAAAAAAGGTATCCCAAGAGGTAATACGAACAAACTATGAACTTAAAGGTACAATCCAGCATTTGTAATTTGTGTAACTTGTGCATATTGTTCGTTTGAAGCAACAAACATGCTCACAATCCAAAGGAGGGTGCTGAACAAATAACCTGACAAAGTTTCAGCTCAACCGAGTATATGTTTCAACAATAATTACGTCAGTTGCTTTTTTGGATAGCTGCAAATGATGGACTATAGCTTTAATGACCACAATAATAATTGTGGTTTATCGTCAACTATATGGCCAGTAAGGTAGCATGTAGGCTTAACACCTTTTTGGGACACTTTGGGTAAAATACGGTGAACACAACCAGGCAAAAGACAAGTAGCTTCAGTGGATATTTAAGAAACATGAACAAAACAGGACTTCCATCCATTGGGTATCTTGTGCCACATCGCGAGTTGCATTTCGAGCATCAATGATGGTATATAAAATGTATTTTCAAACATTCATCCGCGGGCGGTCACAAGACGGTGCCATAGCCCACATTGGAATCGCTTTCATGACTTTTTGGGACACCGTAATCTCACTAAATCATGCTGTGGAATGATCTCTCCTGTCACTCAATAAGCCTGTGTACTGATGACGTCACACTGCAAAAAAAGGATGGATAGTGTTTTGCCATTGAACATTGATGTTCTGCTGAAAGAGATCGGTAACACACTGACGTTGCATGCAAGGCATTAAGAAACTCTAAGAATTCCAGATTCATATGTTATTAGTCATGTAAGTTAATACAAACAGGAGATTTTTTTTCCTGTTGAAAGCTAAAAAGAAAAACAGTAAAGAAAGCACTCATGATTTAAGACGATGAAAACCTGAAAAAAATAACACTAGCATAAAAATATAAACTTCACTTCCCGCGTGAAAGTGGAATGGTTTAGGTATTCACACCGGGGGACAAAAAAGGCCGGAGAACAAAAGAGAACAATATCGTCCGCGATTCCCAGCGTACGTCCGCGATCGGGGTCTTGTACAGAACATAAGGGAGTCTTCCTAAACAGTACAAACAAAAGTGGGACAATAGGACGTCCACGATCGACGTTGTGAACGCGCATGTGTGCACGCACACATGCTGTATGTACGTACCTTTGTTTTGCATTGAGCAAGAGAGGACCCCCTGGAGAGGCCCCTGGGGGTCGCAATCGCTTAACAAAAACAAATGAAAACAAAATCTAAGTTGGACCAAGCCTCATCCGACCACCGAGTTTGAGCACGTTGCGACCTGCCACTTCGGAGAATAAGCCCGGACAAACATCCAAGCATTCAAACATCCAAGCAGAGACTTGCGTATTATTATAAAGATGGAGGTTAAAGATGCCACCGGCCGGCAATTATTTCAAGTAGATGGTGTAGGTAAAGAATAAAGAATGCATGCATTGTTAGACCTGAATTCGCTCTGATCTTACACACCGTGCTGGTGAAGACATATATGCTTTCTTTATTTGAGCTCCGTTTAATAAACTTTGTTAATCTGGGGACCCAACGTTAAACCCTTCCAGTTCACTTAGTTTTACTTTGCCAATACGTTCGAAGACAAGGCATTGTGTATCCTTGCGTTCCGATACTGTATTATATGACAAAACACACATACGTTTGTGCGAGGACCGTTCTCGAAACTCCATCATCGTTCGAAGACAACATGACAATGAATCAGTTTTGTCTTGCAATCCTCAAATGTTATAATGCGTGGACCGATGCTCCTCCAAATGTTTTTTTTTTTGCTTCGCAGAAGATCATGTCTTTCAGGGCTTACGTAAGTGTCAAGGTTGTGTACACCGCCATTACCCAAGTGGCATTCCCGAGATTTTGGCGCAACTGGTGGTACTGGAACACCACAGAAGACCGGCTCCTTACTTACGTCAAGAAGACGGCAACAGAAGGGGAACCTGCCAGCGTGCTTGCCGCCGTGGAAAAATACAACCGAGACTATGAGTGGACTATCATGCTGGAACCGGATAAAAGTGAGACTTAAAAGGGAATCCTTTTATTATTTGAGATGTTTTCCAATCTTTGGTTTTGTCTCAGGCATATGCTTCAGAACGCTGACGTAATACAGTTCTACATTTTTAAAGGAACATCAAGTCAAGAAGAAGCAGTTCCAATCAGTTTGGACATTGAATGCTTTGAAACGATTCGCGAGCCAGAGAAAAGGCAAAAAAACCTGACGATTCCGTGGAGTTAAAGTACATCAATTACGCCTCTTCCTCGTTTTCAGGTCAGCCAACCCGGCATACCAAAGAAAGAAATGGCTCACATTTCGATAAACTTTGGTTTAAACATAACATCTGCATAAAATGGTGAGTGGCGTTGGTGAGGATTGAAACTTCATCATTTACGAGTGAGACCTTGGAACAAAGGTCAACTTGCATATCAACAAACCGAGGACATTAGCCCGGGTCCTCAGTAGTTTTCGGGTACAAATCGTTTTAAGACCAAACAATAGAAACAAAGAAAATGTGGGGGTCCTCTGAAGTATAGAAGGGCGCATTACTGCATGGTCCTTGGTAGTAATGAATAGAATGTACGGGTCCTCTGAGGCTCGGAAGTATAGAGCTTGGTGGCATAGAGGGGAAAGTGTGGGTCCTCGTAAATAGTGCCGATCAATATGCTCGGCCAGGTAGAGGCAAGACGTCCCAACAAAGTTTCAAAATCATTAGCTTTTGTTGTATTTTAAATTTACAAACAAAGCAAAGAAACTCGAGGAGGTGGTGAAAGAGGCCTCACCAGAGGTATGTTTGGAGATGGGATGTTACATCGGCTGCTCGGCGCTGGCCATTGGAGCTCAGCTACCCCCTGGAGGGCGCCTGATCACGACAGAGATTGACCCGAGAATTGCAGACATCGCCAGGCAGCTGATCAGCTTTGCTGGTCTTGATCAGGTACGGATTGATGAACTCTTACGTGTTCCTTCAAAACCAAACTATGTTTTTATTTTGAAATTTGCTGTGTATTGTTAATATGGTAATGTTTGTTAGGGATAGCCAACAGGAAACATTTGGTGCATTCATTGTTACTGAATTAAAATAAAAAAACCTGTGAGGTACCCGCAACATTTGAAGCAATCTTTGCGACGGGTCCCCCCCCCCCTTCTGTTGTTCATTGCGTTTTCAGAATTTAAGGAATTACATTGAGATATCTTGGGAGATGTGTAAGGTAACAATAGTCTATATATAGGGTAGTGGAAGACTGGAGGTACCCCTCTTTCTCAAATCGTGCACGGTATAACCTGCAACACATAAGGACTGTTATTTCAAAAGGAATAACATGTTGAGTACCGAATAACCCAAAACCGTTATCGACCAATTTCTCTGTTTTCACCATTATGACACCGCAAACTTCAATTACAATTCGTACATATGAATAATTAATTAGCCATAATTCCAAAACCCCTTTGACCTATACTCATGAAATTTCTTGGGTATGTTCATGATGAGTTGCTTAATGCATACACTGAGTTTCAAAATTTTGCGTCATTCGATGGCCGAGATCTTAGGGGGGGGGGCAGAATTCGCCCCCCCCCACCCCCGGCTGAGAGATGGACAAAATAACCCAGCCCTTTTAGGGTTAAACCGTTATTGTGAATGAAAGATTTGTAAATTTAAATAATAAAAAGTGGAAGGGTGTAATGGACAAAACAGAATGTGTGTATTAACAAGCATTAGTTGTATATGAGCTCGTGAATTCTGTCATCAATTGTTTTGTTTTTCAGGTGATTACTGTGTGTACCGTCAAGGCAGAAGACCTCATCCAAGCTCTTCGCAGCGACTATTCGGTGGACAAGCTCGATTTTGTCTTCCTCGACCATTTTAAGCAGCTGTACCACCCCGACCTTAAGAGGCTGGAAGCGAACCACCTTCTGCGGAAAGGAACAGTTGTCATGGCCGATAACACTGTAATGCCTGGCGCTCCGGACTTCCTGGAGTATGTTGAGACTAGTGACAAGTATAAGACTGAGAGGTTTGAATTCACGATGCCTGTTTTTAACGAGCTGGATGCTATGACAGTTTCTGTCTACACCAAAGATTACTAGGGCTCCATTAAACCCAGCCCAGCCCAGCCCAGCCCAGCCCAGCCCAGCCCAGCCCAGCCCAGCCCAGCCCAGCCCAGCCCAGCCCAGCCCAGCCCAGCCCAGCCCAGCCCAGCCCAGCCCAGCCCAGCCCAGCCCAGCCCTGCCCAGCCCTGCCCTGCCCAGCCCAGCCCAGCCCAGCCCAGCCCTGCCCAGCCCTGCCCAGCCCAGCCAAACCCAGCCAAACCCAGCCAAACCCACCTCAACCGAGCCCAACCCAGCCCAGCCCAGCCCGGCTGCCCAGCCCAGCCCAGCCCAGCCCAGCCCAACCCAGGGGCAGCCCAGCCCAGCCCAGCCCTGCCCAGCCCAGCCCAGCCTAGCCCAGCCCAGCCCAGCCCAGCCCAGCCCAACCCAACCTAACCCAACCAATTTAACCCAACCAAACCCAACCCAAACCTAAGCCAATCCATCCCAGCCCAGCTCAGCTCTGTCCGGTCCAACCTATAGCCCAACCCAATGCAACCAAACCTGTTAAATACCGCTCATAGCCTATACGAAGTATGCAGGCTCCTGCTAAGTTCCAAAAATAAGATTGGCTTCAAAAATATTTCCAAAAAGAAACAAACATTTAAATGATTATTTTCTAGCCTTTTGAGATGCATAAGACGCAGTTTTAGCAAGGATGAAATGCCAAAGACAATTATACACAGGCAATCCAGAGAGGAAAATGTCGAGTGTATTGTGTGTTTTTATGGTAGGTCAAAAAATAGAAATGATTTAACTGTAACCATCAAATATAAATGTTACAATGATTGTGCCAAATCTGTTTTGTTCCTTTTTTAAGTTTGCAATGCAAGTTGAGTCAGGTTTTGGAACAATGTTCGTGCGACGAATTCATGTTCGATACTGTGTTCATTTTTTTCTGGATGCCAGATTGATATTAAAAAAGTGTTCGATTTTATTCAAATTTAATAAATAAGAATTCCAGTCTTGTGTGATTTTTGCTGGTCCCACAGGGCCAGCCCAGTGTTTTCTTTGTAGTGACTAACTCATATCAGTTACTCACTAACTGACTGATTGACTGTCACTGGTGACCTGACCTGGTTTTTTGGCTAGAAGAGCAGGACACTATTACAATATTTAGCATAAGTCATTCTACATCAGCCACCGTAGGATATAGTGTTTCGGATAAAACAAAAATCACGTTACTAGATCCTAACGCCACGTAGGACTCGCAGAAAACATTTGCATATAAGGACCTAACTCTTCTTGTCGTTGCCAGTAGATATAGTCTGGCTTTCGTTCCTGAACGCGTTGTACAGTGCACTACAATCAATCGACATGTTTGCTCGCGGTAATCGGATAATTATTAACCTGAATCTTCCCTGAAAAGCCTCCACAGCTACAGACTTTGGCCTGCACGTTTCTGGAACTCGATTAATATTCCAAAGTTCCAGTCCAACCGTTATTCATATATACATGTACCGCCCTCTTTAAATTTATGTGTAATCTTTTTTTTAAATTTTTTATTTAACAAGCCTAGTTAAGCTAGTCAGAGAGCGCACAAAATTCTATTCAATTTGTTCAAAATGGCTATGCAGTGGAAGTGGTTTCATGCATGTGGAATACACAATGGGGCAGGCTTAGCCCATTATTAAATAATGAAAGGTTTGCGGAAACACCATGTGCGAATAATTTCTCAACTAAGAGAATGGTTCTGAAAAGAACCAGAGGTATAAACTCGACGTTCCGGTCAGTGTGCTCTGACTGTCTTCAGGAGAGGTCAGAGACGGTCAGAGCACACTGACAGGAACGTCGAGTTTATACCTCTGGTTCTTTTCAGAACCATTCTCTTAGTTGAGAAATTATTCGCACATGGTGTTTCCGCAAACCTTTCATTATTTAGTATCTCCACCATGCAAAGCCTCAAATCTTACTTAGCCCATTATTTTTATTTTTTGAGGGGGGAGGGGCAAGGTGAGATTTGTGCAAGTTTACGTCACGAGCGACGGTCAGTCAGTCCTGAAATCGTGATATCTCGAATTTGAGTCAGTCAGCCCGTCAGTCAGTCTGGTACATTCAACACCATGGGCTACCCCTTTTGGGACCAGCAAACAACATCTGTTAACTTTTACGCTGAAGCAGCGTGAATATTTGCCAACCACTCTGGAGGTTAACGTTGCAAAAAAAAGAATAGGCCTATAGTTATAAATGTTTCTATGCAATTTGGTTACATGCAATTTGATGGGAAAATCTGGTGCCAAGTATGGTACGGCGTAATTGTACAGGGTGAGTAAAAAAAAGCGAAACCCAAATGTCGGGACCATTGTTTTAGTGAAGTTCTGCATGTAGCCCTTTTAAAATCTAGGAAATGAAAGCCCAATTCATAGGCTTTCTTGGTTGTTCAAGAATCATTCAAATCACTTATGTACCTTTCAACTTACGGAATTTTAAACACAACCCCCGTTTTAACGTTCTGTCCACGGATCACAAGAAGGTTAGTGTTCTTTCAGCAAAACGAATACAAATCACATGGGGATGTGTGTGAATTGTTTCTTTTTGCTGAAAAAGAACGCAAACTTTTTTGTGTGATCTGTGGACAGAACGTTAAAACGGTGGTTGTGTTTAAAATTCCGTAACTGGAAAAGTACATGAGTGATTTGAATGATTTTTGTACTAAAAGAAAGCTTATGAATTGGGCTTTCATATCCGAGATTTTTAAAGTACATGCAGAACTTCACTAAAACAATAGTCCCGACATTTGGGTTTCGCTTTTTTAGACTCACCCTGTAGCAGCCCATACAAAATAGTGCTCTCATTAACAAACGACAGAAAGGCCTGTCTAATTTATACCAATTCATTAGGCTCCGCCCACAGCACACGTGGGCAACAACGAATGCGCCTCTACAATGCCTCACTGACTGTTCCAGTCACGCGCATCATGTGCATGAATGATAAACATTATTCATGATTGCTCAAAAAACAGGGCGGGGCTTAAACAGATCTGTCTATTGTGACCGCCATATCAAAAGGGCTCACAAATTCATATGCGGGGTTCATTTTTTTTCACTTGGACCGTAGAGAGACCACCAACAGCGTGCCAAAAAAAAAAAAAAAAAAAAAAAACAGCGAATTTGTGTACGATCGAGGCATCGTCTTTATTATTAAGACTCCACGAATACTACCAGCTTTGAATCTGAGACAAACGGTAAGTTTTAGGCCATTTTTTGCGCAATTTGTTTTCGTTACCTTGCTTCATCCAACGTAAGACGTAAAACAATCAGCAAACCTATGAAAATACCCTATCATCAGGGATGTGAGTTTGATACTATCCACACTGACCAGACTATTTTACAGGGTGCCCACCCCCCCCCTCCCAAAAAAAAGGTATCCCAAGAGGTAATATGAACAAACTATGAACTTAAAGGTACAATCCAGCATTTTTAATTTGTGCAACTTGTGCATTTTGTTCGTTTGAAGCAACAAACATGCTCACAATCCAAAGGAGGGTGCTGAACAACTAACGTGACAAAGTTTCAGCTCAACCGAGTATATGTTTCAACAATAATTACGTCAGTTGCTTTTTTGGATAGCTGCAAGTGATGGACCGTAGCTTTAATGACCACAATAATAGTTGTGGTTTATCGTCAACTATATGGCCAGTAAGGTAGCATGTAAACACCTTTTTGGGACACTTTGGGTAAAATATGGTGAACACAACCAGGCATAAGACAAGCAGCTTCAGTGGATATTTAAGAAACATGAACAAAACAGGACTTCCATCAATTGGGATCTTGTGCCACACCGCGAGTTGCATTTCGAGCATCAATGATGGTATATAAAATGTATTTTCAAACATTCATCCGCGGGCGGTCACAAGACGGTGCCATAGCCCACATTGGAATCGCTTTCATGACTTTTTGGGACACCGTAATCTCACTAAATCATGCTGTGGAATGATCTCTCCTGTCACTCAATAAGCCTGTGTTCTGATGACGTCACACTGCAAAAAAAGGATGGATAGTGTTTTGCCATTGAACATTGATGTTTAGGAATTCAACACATAATGTTTAGCATCTAAACATATTTACAAAGTGATAGCAAAATTGTGTTTAATTGCTAAACGCAGTTTTAAGAGTGCACACTTTGTTTACATGTGCACTTTCCTATGGAGCGGGGGGGGGGGGGCATCGGTCCACTGAGCACCATGGGAAAGCATACACGTAAACAAGTGTGATGTCATCAGTACAGATGATTATTAGAGTCTTTGTGACTGTTTTTTTTTTGGGGGGGGGGGGAGGGGAGGGGTATTTAAAGAAAAAAGTTCTCAGCAGTCTACTTCCCAACCTTCGGGGTTTTGACACGAGATGGACAATTTATGTGATCCACCTGCAATGCATAATTATGGTGAGATGGGCCATGGAAGATATGCGCCACTGATCACTGAAGACTTTGTGTTAAAAAAGAATCAAGGCAGGTGGACATGTGGAGGGTGAAACATACAGTGGCGTAGCCACGGGGGCGTGGGGGGGGGGGGACAGCCCCCCACGAAACCTTGTCCCCCCCCCCCCCCCCCGCTGAGATTTTGAGTTTCTAAAAAAAATATCATTGATCTACATGACGCCCCCCATGAAATGTTTCAGCCCCCAGCGCCCCCCACTGAAAAATTCCTGGTTACGCCACTGGATACATATGAGCTGTTGAATCCTGAATGATCCAAACTGTCAATTGACACCAACTCTGTGTTGTTTAGATCGTCATGAAGTGAAATGTCCCTTTGAACCTACTTGCTTGTGTGGTTGTGGTCACAGTGTTTTACCCAAACTGTGTGGGGTGAAATGTTGCTTAGCGAATTTTGTCCGACAAGCGAACATCTAATAGCTTCGAACCAGTCACATGCAATGTCAATAGACCATTATCATGTTGCGACCATCTTGATTTTTTTCCTACTCAAATCAACGTAACCAGAGCGAGGCTGGAAGGAAAAATAGTCTGGCTCCTTTTTGCACAAAAACATTATCATTCAGTCCTGTTA